ATATATATGAATCCCCATCCCTACGCCCAGACGCCGTTCGGGAGCCCCACAACGCCAGGAAGCCAGGAAGTACTTTCGAACGTCCTTGCGTGACTTCTGTGTGCTCGCTGTGTACATCATTCTGTTGCTGCCTTACCTGATGGTCAACGCCTTCGGACTGTCCACTCCCAGACATCTGCTGTGGGACATCTCAAAGGTATCGCTTGAATGTAAAAAGTAACATATTGCCCCCCCCCCCCACTCCAAGAAAGTTGTATCTCATACCAAACGATTTTTTTCATTTGATAATATAACTATTTTTCGGTTGAATCGGGGTAACCCTCATTGATACCGTTGGCCACGCATAATTTTAGTGAAATGGGGATGACGGAGGCAGAGTTCTTTTCTTTACATACGAATTTCTCTATGCGTTTTGTAGGTTCTAAATGTATAAGAAAAAAGTTTGGGACCTGAAAATCTGTTCACTATGTGCGTTTTTCGCTATGTGAATGTACGCTATATGTTTACCCACAGTAGGCTTATAATATTATTTTAAGAATGCAATACTGAGCTAAAAATGACCTCGGGTGTGATCGTGGCAGAAATGAGGAGAATTAAATCGCCTGTAACTCGCTTCCCGTACGAGAAAACTTTAAAAATTGTATATACCTACAATTTGTTGTCTTTATCTTTAATATGAAAACATCGGATAAGCGAACGAACAAAAATAAATATAAATTACAAGATTAAAGTTGGTAACGAAATCGGCTTTTCGGCGCTTTTCGGACGCAAATTCGTGGAGACTCCACGACCCATGTGTTTACAAAACGTCGATGCTCCGGTCGTACCGAATCGATTATAATGTGACTGAACTCATTGAAAAGTACTTAAATTGATGTTTCTTGCAGTATATTTTTTACTGATTTGATTTCAACTCAAAGTGCATAAAAATCGTAATAAAAACTTTGAAAGGCTTTTCGGAACGTATTTTATTTAAATATTTTTTGTAAGAATAATGGTCGAACAGCTCATCCATTTTTTAAATAAAAGAATATGTTAACAGTATTAGGACCGATATGCATCGATGAAAGCACCAACGTTTGAAAATGTTCCTTGACCGCGCGAAAACGATACTAGAATCGGCAGGCGAGCGTCATGCCGGTGCGCCGTCCATAAGCACATGGTAGTCTAGTTTACGTAATAGCAGGGGCCCCTTTTAATGAAAGGAATGATCGGTACATTATCATCAACTGAATGTCATTGGCCTACTATATTTGCACTCTACTGGAACGAAGCAATACATCTAGAGAGAAGCAAAAAATTCGAAGGTCTAGGTCTATATTCTCAAAACAAAATGCGCCTCGCGAAAAAACACTTCCGGCACTTCCATTGTGATGGATAGCTACGCAGATCTGTTTCGTTTCTCAGCGGAATAATCATAAAGGTCAAAGAAGGAAGGGAACATTTTGTCAAATATATTTGTCTAAATTCAGGAAATAAATGTATCAAAAGTCGAGGTCCGTCATGGGGACCTATCTAGATCTCTTTTTGCAGGTACTTGTCAACTTTCAACTCTGTAGCTGCCGTAGTTTTATGAGAAAAGTGACAGACATGTGTTTCCAAGATGTCAAATATATAATATATATTTCTGCCACTTTTCTTGAATATGTGTAAATCGATCGATCACACGAAGTTCATTAGCGATATATTGATTATTTTTATACATTTGAAGAGAAATGAATGTTGGTTTAATTCTTATTTTACATTTTATAATTTGAAGTGCCCTATTCAAATTTGGGAACCCATTCTTACGCTGAATTAACACGATGTGAATACGGGGCAGCATTATAAGACTCGCTGTTTTATGTATCGGTCATTGAGTGAGAACAAATGTTATTTTGGTGGTCAAAAATATCAATGAGTGTGTCCTGTGTGTGGTCTTCTTCTGGCAGCAGTAAATATGTAGAAAAATGCTCTCAAACAAATCAACATTTGCCGATTCAAATTGTATTATGGTGAGATATTATCAGAGAAACAAGTGAGATCGATTAACGCAGGGATAATAGTAATGGAGAACAGGTTCCTAGTAAACCTAAGATAAGTTTAATCAAGGTCTACTGAAATTAATTAGGTTCTTATTACCAAGATTTGTTAGTATACAGTTAGGTACGCAATTAAAAAAAAAAAAGCTGTTCCGATTCGGACATTGGGGATTGCCTTGTTAGTGAGACAACTTCCTGGGCCTTTGGCATGTTGTGGTAGTGTGGCCAGTTCCTTTCCCCACCGCATTTACTTCCCCAACTCGAAGTCAGGTACCCATTACTGCTGGGTGTGCAGGAGGGGGGCGACAAAAATCCGTGTCCGAAACGAGGCTCGAACCCGGACTTTCGGCTTCAGAGACGAGCGCACGATACGCTTTGCCACCTCACCCTCAATACTGGGCGAAAATGGGGCTCGCGGGTGATCGCGGCAAAATTGGGGAGAATCTAACTTGTTTCTATCTCGCTTCCCTTTCCAGTAAAGTTTTAAAACTTCATGTTTACACATTTTAATCCTGAATCTTAATCTTTAATTTTGAAAACTGGATGCATTGGTGTTTAGTCCGCTCTTCTTAACATTATGTAATAGAACTTTGCGTTCTCTTTTATTTGACGCATAAAATATGTATCTGTCAATAAAAGGGGATTTTTTGGTGCAAATTGAAATAATAAATGGTCATATTTGCCGTTTCGGAAACATCACAAGACAGTCACAAGACAGTCATTGCAGTGGAACCCACAGGAAGCACGGGGCAGGGGTAGGCCACGGGAAACATGGAGGAGATGTGTGGAAAGGGACATGAGAGAAATGAAGCTCACTTGGAACGAGCTTGGAAGGATGGCTCAGGACAGAGATAAATGGAAGGAGCTTGTATGTGGCCTATATCCTGCCAGGGGTGAAAGACATTGATGATGATGATGATTTGCCGTTTGCTTTGTATTTAGAAGACCCAGTAGATGCACACATTAACATTTTATCTGATTACTTTTAATTTCATGCAAAAGAGCTCTTCTTTCTCTTTAATTTGATGTTAAGGTGATAAAAAAAACAACCACAGTGCCAGATTTTTTTCTCCAAATATCCGGTACAAAATTTGTACTAGAATATTGTAATTTGGAAAAGATATAATTCATTCAAATCGAATTCGTTTGACATAAAATTCACAAAGAAGAAACTTATTTTGGAAAATGGAAACGTCTTTTATAAAAAAACCCACAAATGCAAAATGCACCAATTTAGATAAATGATCTTGTAAGGAAAGCCATGAAATGATTGGTTTTTTCCCCTTTCCTTTTATTAAAAAATCTAATCTTTCCACCACTGTAACCTGTAAACAATATTTCTTTTATCTTACTAAGTTAAAAAATTGTTAGTTTTTTTCTGGAATTCCGAGAACCAATGTTCTATAATGTTTCCTCCTTTGGACTAAACACATTTTAACGCGTCTTTCGTAATGTTCATTGGTGGGCAAACACAAGGATCCACTCCACCATAAGTACTCAGAGCCACACACACTGTAAGTACACCTTACGGTATGGAGCTCAGTTTAGAGACGATATGGGTTGGGGGGGGGGGGGGTGAGGTTGCCTAAATAGATAGAATGTGTGGAGTTGATATAACCTGAAAGGTGAATATGGGCTTTGCCAAGGAACCAAATGTCATAAAGGAAATCGATCGGGGAATCATGAACACATTGCTGTTCTCCGATAGCTTTGTGAACGGGAAAATTGTACTGTCGTAGATATACCTTGAGAATACACACCGTTGAGATGCAGGAAAGTCTTAGCTACAGACTTTGTCTCTACGGACAGACGTCTCATGGGGCCCCATCTACTGAATTCGCCACCCTGGCCGTGACGGCGCGCCATTGGTTCAATTGGTGCAAGCGCTCCACCTAACCCTGGCATTCACCCCCCCCCCTCCCCTTCTAATTGTTCTAAACTATTCAGTACTCTAGATCTACATTACTACATCCTTGCGATCCGTCACCCTCTGGTTGCGCCAGTGCACCCAGGTGACATTTAAAGAGGTCTGAACGGTGTGTGTTTGAGCTGAAGTGGTCGTTTGGTCTGGGAATGTTTTATTCTAATTCTCCACAGGTCCTAAAAGATGGACCATTTCCACCCTTGACACCAAAGAAGGCCTTAAGGGCACTTAAACATTATTTCCATACCTTGTGCGAAACTTACGAAATGAGTTGGGGGTGAGGAAATGTTCTATACAAAAAGCTCTCTGCTGTCTACTGATCTTTATCATGGTCACATCAGGCAAAAGAAACTTGAGAAAAACAATCTGCAAACTTCTGTTGGCCTGTTAGACTACTGTAGTTTGCAATATGGCGCAGTCGTTGGGCTTTTTAGTGGTAGGCAATATGCGAACTCCTGCGACGAAAATGGGGACATAGCTGAAAATGGGGACATAGCTGAAAATGGGGACATAGCTGAAAATGGGTTGTTTTTTACGCACTATGTAGAGCAAAATTATTATGTGGGTTTATCTAAAATGAGTATCAAATTCCTTTTGACTTCCAAATGTTGAGTACAAACTTGAAACGCAGAACTTCAGTGTGGAGGAAAATATTAACAACAAAAGTTGTACAGTTTTTTTATCGCTCTGTGTATAATGTGCATCTATCAATCATAGGACACTTTTTTATGACATTCTGAAGTTGACGAAATTGTATCGTTTTTATCTCGCTTTATTAAACGAAAATGTGAAAATGGCTTCTATGCCATCATTTTGAATTGTCAGTTGTCTACGAAAAAAAATAGAGCCTGGTAAGCTATATAACTTGTATCATTTTGTCACCATATTTCCCCAGATCTTGTCTTACCTGAACAACGTCTCCAACTGCATCATCTATGGGCTTCTCAACCGACAGCTGCGCCGCTGTTTTGCCAGACTTCTGGGGATTGACCGCATGCGATGTGGCAGCCCGAGTAACGTTGTCACCCCAGCAACCATATCGCAAGTTCTTCCTCCACCCCCAGAGGCCCGACCTAATGGAACTGTGACCGGAAGCTAGGTTCTGACCAGGCACCTACGTGACGAGGAAAACTTGGTCACGCAGAAGCGTCGTTGTGGCACGTGTTACTGTTACTTTGATGCTAGATCTATGCGGATTAGATTAGATGGTTACTTTTTTGCTACGGAGATAAGATTGTTACTTAATTGTTATGGTGATTAGATAATTACTTTGTTGTTATGTGGAATAGGCTACATCGTTACCTCGCTGTTTGTTATGGGAAATATATCGTTACTTTGCTTTTATACGAAGCTTATTGTTACGTTTTTGTTATGGGAGACGAATCATTACTTTGTTGTAATAGTAAGAATATCGTTACTATGTTGTTGTCATGAGAACCATGTAATTACTTTTTTTAAATTATGGAAATATATCATTACTTTGTTGTTATGATAGGCCAAAGCATAATAGGTAATTACTTTTGTATGGGTCGGAAAACAGCAATGTACATTGTTGACATATCAATGTATTAATAAATTATATACATAATATTAATGTATTATAAGCACAATACTTTCACACACCTTGCAGACGTATCAAAGCATTACTTCATATTAAAATGTTTGGAAGATTTGCAAAGTAGATATTTTAGGTTTTTTTAAATGTAGGCCTACATTACGTATTAAAATGTTTTGTCACAGCGCAGCCTTTTGTTACTTCTTATGGAAAATGGGTGGTTATTTTTTGTCACAGAAAATAGACCATTACTTTGTTGTTGCGAGAAATAGACCATTACTTTGTTGTTACGGGAAAAAGACCATTACTTTTTTGTTATAGAAAAGAGACCATTACTTTGTACTGTTAATGCGAGAAATAGACCATTACTTTGTTGTTATGGAAAAGAGACCATTACTTTGTACTGTTGTAGCGGGAAATAGACCATTACTCTGTTGGTATGGAGAAAAGACTGTTACTTTGTTGTTGTGGGAAATAGACCATTACTTTGCCGTTATGGGTCGTCGGTCGTTACTCTGTTGTTACGGTAAACAGATCGTTACAATGATGTGAGAAATACGTCGTTACTTTGGTTGTTTTGACAACCCGCGGTTGATAAAACAAAACAGTCTGTTTATCTTCTGTCCATATTGCATTTTCTCTATCAGCGTATCTTCATGTCGGTTTTCTTTTTTTCAGAGTTAATTTCGTGCCATTTTATTTTCTCATTGAAGCTTAAAATCTCATCCAAAATTCGGTTTTCTTAATCTCGTTCAAGTCTTTATCTTCTGTGGTTTGCAAGAATTGTAACCGTTCGTGTATTTTCCAGGTTTAACTGATCTTTCTCTGTCTTAATGCTCGCGTTTACTTGTCACCTCGTGATTTTCTATAATGTAGTCCGTGAATAATATATATATATATATA